CCGCCAACACCTGGAATGCCTTCTGTGTCGCATCTCGGACACTCTTGTTCATATGCGAAAGGTCGCCTACAAGCTGTTGGCAGAGCTTCAGAGTGATGTTGTTGCCCTTGTCGAACTCTTCCTTGGTCGTCTTCTTGTGGCAGCGCCTGATGAGGTCCTGGATGAGTCCTTCTGCTTGTATGCGCGTCTTTGAGTCGAGATCAATAGGCATATCCTTCATGACAAAATTGAGAGCCCGGACGAGCTCGAAGTGGCGGGGTACAAGCCAGGACTGAGGAAGGCCCAACTGCTTGATCATAATTTCGATACCCCGGGTTCCACCGGACTTCATGAACCAATCATCGGCGTGACAGTTGTGACAAAAGGTACTCGAGAGCTCGTTGAAGAACACGAACTTGTCGAGCGAGCCGTCGTTTCCAAAGATTGCTTTCGTAGCGTCGCGCATTGTGAGGATAGCTTGTTCAGCGGCGTCCCGTACAGCGCCATGTTCTGAAGCCAGAGATTCACCGATAGCTTCAGACACAACATCGCTCTCAATGACGACAGGTCCTTCTCCCGAATGCACATCGAACGGCTTGTTCTTGTGTTTGAGCGTAGCGAACTGCGTTCCAAGCTCGAGAAGCGTGAAATGTTTTGCCAAGTTACTTACCAGAGCCTCAGCCTCCAACTTCAGCTCAGGTATAGAAACAGCAAAGATGCTCGCTTTCAGCAGCTTCTTGAGTGTTTCCTGTTCCACACTTTTCTTCGTGATGGACTTCTCACGCTCAGATGCAGTGAGGATGTCGTAGCCAACATCAAACTTCTTCGCACACAAGTCGTTTGCTTGCAGGCGTACTAGCTGAGCAAAGTCTTCTGGCAAGCTGTCGAAGCCGACCAGCAGCTTAGTGTGCGCGGTGATGAGACGAAGAGCTTGCTGCTTGTGGAAGGTGTCCGACTTCTTTGCTGCTGGAGTCTTCGGAACCTCGTGAAGCTTTGCGATAGCAGTGTCGATACCTACAGCTGCAGGAAAGGCGCGATCCTTAGTAGAGCCGATGAGCCGGATGTCGATGGACGATTGATCGTCAGAGTACGGTTTAAAATCTAGCTCTGGTGGGCCAGTAATGAACTTGCGGTTACGACCTCCTAGCTTTCCGAGAATGCGCATCGTGGTATGAGCATGGAAGTGGCTGTATGGGTTTGGTTTTAGGTGCTCCCATAGTGCAGCCATGAGCTCGTCAATAACTGGTGCCATGATTGGATCTAGATAATCTGCGGTGAGGTTGTCCACACAGAGCTCTAGAGTACGTAGCCCTTGACCAACAAGGTCTGAGCCAGCTCGCAAGGCTACGACTAGCGGCCTCATCAAGTAGCTGAGATGTGGCAAGAGGTTACTGAGCCGCGCGGGGACTGTAAGAGATAGCTCGACAAAAAGGTCTCTTTCAGCAGGCTTGCGCGCCGTCAAGAGGAGATTGTTGAGCACATCGAGTAGCATTTCCAGCAAAGGAAGGATTTCCTTGTATAGATGCTCGAATCTGCCACCCCCAATACTCCTGAAGAGTGATCTAAGCAGCAGGAAGTAGTTCATAGGCTCTTCAGCTGTGGTTGACAATTGAATCGACTTTGTTATGATCTTGCTGACATGTGGCAGAAGCACTTGCTCGTTCTGGGCAGAGAAGAGGGTGACAGCCATAAAGGAAAGCTTGAAGAGGCGGAGTAGGATGGACGACTTCTTCACATCCGCAGTACCGACCTCTTCGATTCGGTCCATGAGAAACTGTAACAACATGCCCGAAAAGCTGGGTGACGTAGCCTCGGAAGCGAGAAGAAATTGTGGAACGTGGAGCAACGCCGGGTGATCGAACATCATATCGTACAAATGGGGTATCTCGGATGAAAACACTTCGTGGAACGTAGCCGGATCAATGTGGTGGAAAACAGTTGCGAACGTCTCCAAGAGATCCTTCTCTTCTTTACCACTTGACATCATGTGCTGATTGCCCATGAAATCTCCTGGTGACAAGCCTTGGGTTTCAGGAGCCTTGTCGGTGCCGTAGTAACGGAATACCTTAGCTCCTTCACGGAACAGCTTGATGAGGACCTCCACCTCTTCTGCATTGTATCCAAACGATACTTCGTGCCAGTTCGCGGATGCGTTCGTCGGATCAATCTCGTCCTTTATCTTGGCTGGATTGCAGGCTCGCAACTGGTAAAAGAGATTCTTGAGCCCATGTAGCAGATTCTTGAACAAGAATTTGTTATCAGCGATTGGGTCGGAGCTCCTGTCTCGCGGGTTCGATGTCTTGATGGGCGTCGCGTTAGAGATGTCAATCTCATCCCAATCCGGAGGATTTTCCTGAACAGCCATGTGGTTCTCATCTACGGCATCAATAGACGGCTGGCTGTACTGCGCTGAGAGCTTAACAGCGTTGTGGTACTGACGGTTCATCGCTGCGAACTTATCGCCGATGGCGTTCAGTATCATGATCAAGAAGTACCGAGCATCCTCCTTGGGTTCCAGCTTTGCGATGCACTCAGCCATGTTGAGAAGAAGTTTTGCGCTCATGGTTTGGAAGCTAGTTCCAGGGAATGTGTCGTGTAGATTCTTTGTGTAAACCTCCACTGTGCGTCGAATCTGCTCCTTCGACAGCGATTCTCGCAGATGATGTATCAGATCTGCCAGCATGCTGTAGGCGAGCGGTCGCATCGTCTCGTACACTGTGAGGCCATCGCCAATCAGCGTCCTTTCGTCCAAGAGCTCGTCAATCTTCTTCAGAAAGATCTTGCGGAAGTTAAAGTTGATGATATGCCTGATAGCAACCAAGAGCTCTTTCCGTGCACCAGATTTCTCCCGTGGACAGTCCTTGAGCAATCGAACCACAATATCCGGGAGGGTCGGAAGGAAGTCGTTTAGCTGATTCGCATACACTCTGAGCAAGTAGGCCAGGAAGCTCATGGTCTTGACTTGGGCGGTAATGAAGTCGCCAAAGGCTGCACGATTACGGATCTCTTTGCTAACGCCGGTGAAGATCTTGCCCTGAGCCTTGGCCTCCTCATGCGCCTTCTCTTGCGGTTTTGCCTGGAGCAAAAGCACGTTCTTGATCAGCGGTACAAAAAGCTTGACGTTCTTGTTCACACAATTCCTGTATGCCTGGAACAGAGATACTACTATTATAGGGCATTCGGCGAGGACTTTGAACGACTGCATTCCCTTAAGCAACATGCGAGTTTGTTGGTGTTCCGACCCAATATCTCCTGCGGAGGACGTAAGAGCAGTCGCTGGTGAGCTCGGACGTGGCGACTGGGAGAATTGATGGTTGTTGGGTGTGGAAGGGACGCCCTGCGAGGCTGAGGCTGTCGTGTTGCTGTCAAATGTGTCGTGGACCGCTTGCTCCATTGTCTCGAACATTTCCTGGATTAGATCCAGGAAAGGCTGAACCCGATCAGCGAGAGCCTTGGTCTGGTGGCGTTGGAAGTCCATGATAGTCTTCATGCATAGCACCGCATTATCCTCGTTTTCCAGCTTCACAAGACTCATGAGCTTGTCTACAATCTTAGCCGCATGCGGTTCGATCGCTTCCGTCGGATTCATCGGCAGTCGGTGCAAGATCTCGAGGACGCAATTGCGTATGCGCTGTTTCTGAGTCAGAAGGCTGTGGAATTGTCGCGACGTGTGCGCTCACCTGTTCGGGCGATGTCGAGATGAAGACTGGGTTGCCATCTAGTATCTTGAGGAATACAGGGACCAGATGGTTCAAGAATGTGCTGTACTGCTGCCCTTGACAGTAGCTCTCAATGTTGTCCCGTATCTCAATCGCCTGGGTGCCTTTCGCTCTGAGATCTGCATCAGTCAGCCTCTGTTCTCTGTTGATAACACGCGCGCCTGTCTGCAATCGTTCAGCGCAGGCACAGCTGTTTCGTACCAGAGTTTGGGTCATCCAACTTAGAGGCCATAGCCTCGAAGTTGTGAGTCGCCATGGCGATGTTATGTGCAGCTTACAGCCGCTCCTCCACCTTTACAAGTCCCACGTAGGGTGCGCCAAATAGTGTTGTGGGTATCCAGTGTGTTGCGCGATCGCTGTTGCGGAAGGCAGGCGCATTGGTTTCGGCGATGGCGCGGTACTATCTTCGGTCGTTTGCAGGTCGCTGCAGTGTCAAATATTAAATTTGGAAAAGGAACGTGTAGGCGTGATGGCCTATATGGTCATTACAATCGTTATTGTGGAAATGAGGCCTGGTGGCGGGGCAAGGGCGCGTCCCAGGTGCGGGTATGGAGTCGCGACTTAGAGGATGGATGAGCTTCTGCAAGCACTTAGCTGACGAGCGAGGAAGGCACGCTGACCCCCAAAACTTAGCGCGCGCTCTTATTGGTCAGCGCAACCCCTGCGCGAGCGGCTATCCTTCATACAGATTAGCGACATCGGCGTCCAAAAGAACCATGTCCGGTACCTGTCGAACGGTCAACTGTTCACACTAGATTCCAGATAGTATGTTCTGTTTTCCTGAAATATTGCGGAGGACTTGGCTCTCCCCCGATCGCATCGAATGTGGAGAGTGCCACTAGATTGGTGGCTTCTGCGTCCTCGACTCTTACTCATGTTATGACAATATTCTCAGGGTTGACAACATGTAACAGTGACACAACTGTCTTCTAGCATGTTCACCCGGGGCGTACGACACAGGGGCGGTAAAGGGACAGTCGGTAAGTTCACCGCACCCAAGACTTCACACAACATCACACTTGGCTTGAGCTTCAAAACGATGTACTCTTATCCATCTACTTGCCGTCGCCTCGCTTACCACCAAAACCCCAGTCATAAGCGGTTTGACGTAATCATGTATGCAAACGAGAAACATCACATATGTTTACAAGACCGCACGTTCGCGTCCGGCCTTTCCATCTAAGACAAGAAAATTGAAGTGTTGACATTTACATTGTTGGAGAGCCGCACCATGGTATTCGATGTCAAGATGTGGAGTAGGAACATGGGGAAAGCGGATATGCGCAGCCTCAACCTCTTTCTCTACTTCTCATCGGGGTACATGGCCTCTTTGAGAGGGATCCCGAGCTCCTCACGTATGGGCTCAAGCTCCTGGAGGTACTCTGCATATTGACCCTTGTTCTCGACCTTGAATTTGATACCTGTGACGTATGTTAGTAATCAATATCTCAGGGTTGGTCCAGTCCCAAAGTGGCGTCGCATTTCGCAGTCTACTTGGTTCCTTTTTGCAATAAAAAATTCCAGGGCTGACGTATGGGGGGTTATAGCAGATAACGTACCCTCGAAAACACGGACAGCGGAGGGGAAGTCGTTGACACGCCTGGCAGCGCGGAGAGCGGCGGTGATGACGGTGGTTGAAGGAACGAGATCGTAGGCGAAGCAGTTGTTCAGGTTTCGCTAGCGATTGTCAGCTCGTTGGTCCTCTTCGCGCCAGTCTACAACTGCCCAAGGCACATCGGGTGATGCCGGTACGGGACACTTCGTAGACACAACAAACATACCTGAAGCTCGAAAACATCGTTCACCTTCTCGAATTCCTTCTCGTACCTGTATTGAAGAAACACAAGTCAGCACTGCAGCTTCTGGTAATACCAATGGCGCTCAATGGCTTTCCATCGTTCCTGCATGACTCCATGCCTGCCCGACTCTATAGCCCCTCCTTGGATCTGTCGTACCTGGCCGTGAACTCTTCAAAGGTCTCCTCGGCATGCGCATCGCTCTTGCGGATAGCCGACTGCGAGAAAGCACGCTGGGTGTTCCACGCAACGGGGGTTGCTCGGTAGGCCGGGACTCGTACGCCCACTCGGCTGACCTTCGACGCGGCGCGAGCGAAGGACATGTTGTGATTGAAAGAGCTGATGGCAAGCTACGGGAGGTGATTTCGGGGCTACTGGGCGTGTGTAGCCGGTAATGTGTCGATGGGTGGTGGTGTCGGTGGTGCGATTTCGCGTGAGGTTACGGAAAACGAAAGCTCAGGCGATCCGAGTTGCGCCAAAGCCAAGCATATTAGTGGGTCGCACCGATTCCAGAGACCGACGGCATAGTTGCGCTTGACCTCATCGTCTACACCAGCAATGCTGAGCTTCGCTCATCTAGAAGATTGATCTGCAATTCTGATCTATTTCTTATATAGGGTTTGCTGGTTCGAGAGCGATGCGCAACATACGCCTACGGATTTCCGCAACAAGTCTTTACCTCGGGCTATCCATTTGTGAGACAGATGTAGCCAGATAAGAGCAGTCATGAATGCAGAAATTGCGGCTGTTGAACCCCAGCCTATTCAGTACCACAGGATCTCTAGCCACTTCACACCTTGTAGTAGCCGCCAAATGGAACCGGTCCTTCTGATGCCGCTCGTACAGACACCACTGGGCTGTCACTATCATCATCATCATCATCCACGTCCGAACTACCATAGACATTCTCGTCCCTGTTATCGACTTGCATGTCATCGTCTTCATCTGCTTCCCCGTCTTGGTCATCTTCTTCATCCTCTGCCTCTCCGATATCTGCGTTCAAAATAGTGTCAGGCTGAACAGGATCTTCTGTCATGTCCTCGGGAACATCAACGTTCTCTGGCTCCTGCTCTTCCTCGGCCTCTTTTTCCTGCTCGTCACGTGCTTCCATCTTTTCAAAAGCATAACGAGGGTTTCTTGCAGCCCAGCGCACATTGTGCATTACCTGATGTTCCCTCCTCTTCTCGTGGTGTAATTGACGGTCGTCAATCTCACCCTTATACTGGGCAGCCATGTCCCTGTCATCCCACAACTCAGGCCAGGTGACAATACGCTGGTAGATCCTATCATCAGGCTTGTCACCACCGATGATGGTGTTCATTTTGTCCTTCAAAATTACCGTGGCTTTGGCCCATGTCCCAACGTGATACCATCCTTGGAATGTCGGTGCACAAGTTGTTCGGATGTTCTTTGTAGCTAGTATCTTCGCAATAAGGGGATCGGTAATGTCACAGAATTGGAAGAGATTACCTGTTTGCGAGACATTGAAGCCGTCAAAAGTGTGCTCAGACTCTAGCTCTTCCGGTGCCATCTTTGCCAGTTTCATAACATGTTGATCGAAGACAGCGCGGTGCTTGGACGTGCCTGACTTGATGTAAGACAGGAATGACACAGTCTGGTATTTTCGATATTCAGGGTCTTTACGAGGGTCGACACCCCATCGTATCAGAGCCTCTCGCCAAGGTCCACTTTCGAAGAAGTATCCGCAATATATGGCTGCTTGCCGAAGCTTTGTTCGCTTGTCCCAACCAAGTCTGTTGTATAGTAGCTGGCGGGTAACGATAGGTCTTTGTAAAAGCAAAGCTCGAATGTTAGCTACCAGTGACTGCATGTAAGGCGTAAGATCTCTCTCTGCTGGGAGACCTGGTCGTGGTCCTGTCGGTACGTGTTCATCGGTGGGCTTAACGACCGTGTATGCATTATAGGCCAAGCTTCTCTGTATGTTGACCACACCTTGGTCAGTGTACTTGACATTGGCATTCTGCTGGAACCGATAGTTGAAAGCGATGGGCATCTGTATGAACTCTGGAGACGGTCCGACGCTTTGCGTATGGTCTGCACCGGCCGCAGTGTTCACATTGTACCTTTTCAGCTGTTCGTCTAGGATAGAATTATTAGTAGTGTTCGGAGAACAGCTGGGTCGGACTTACATCGTTTTGGTAGAACATGGTCTCGGAGGCCAACCATGATCTTGTTATGAGAAGCTGCACATTGCAAGTCAGGCATATCTGAAGATCAGTCAGTCGTTGTTGTATTTGAGGTGGATGGTGTTGGCGCACTTCGAAATCGATGGGTCTCATCCACGACCCCTGCCAGAGTGACCTTGTATGTTGAGGCATTGTCTTGCAAACTTCTGTAGATGGTCGATGCATCCACGTACGTCTTGTTGACTGTAGTACTATCGTTTGAGACTCCATTGCCATGGCTGCCTACTTCGTCTTCAGAAAGAAAAGGACCTGAGGTTCCGCGCTTTCGTTTGCGTCCCGTTCGCTTTGGCACTGTTACTCTGAGCAGGAGGTTGTTCGTCCTCACAGGTGTAGACAGCAAACGCTTGGCGAAAGGATCGTCTGGGCGCAACGAGACGGATATGAGTTTCTTGAGCTCATCGTCACCCTCGGCGTTGGTCGTGGTTTCCAATCGAGATCGCAAGCCCTGAGGCGATTGTTAGTTTCTCCCAAAGCGGTAGGCACTGCTATCTCCGCTGACCTTGCTCAGTTTGACAGGCCCACCTAATGAGGTAATGCCTTTGTCAACGTTTTTGACGATGGCCGGGTGTTCGACGACTGAGACGGCACGTGACGGGATCGGTAGCCATGGCGCATGCTGGTTTCCCGTGGTCGATGTAGCGTTGTCCATGTTGTACTACACAGCGAAGGGTCTGGAGTTCGAGAATCTCTTGTGATTGTAGTCACGGGAGCCTGCAGCACGATGCTCGTTCAGTAGTTTGTGCTTATCTGTAAGCGCAGACTGCAGTGGCTATGGCTGTGGTGTATAAGATACGATTCTTGCAGACCCTGACCCAGTGAGAGGCCCGTCGCAGCTTCTCAATCGAGACAGGGATCGATCTGGTGATGCCTCTGCTGGAGTACTAGATCAGACCATACAAGTCTACGTCTGCCCAAAGTAGCTGCATAATCTCTTGCCTCCTGCTTGCGCACTCGATCCTTCACACTCAGCATCTGCTACTTCACAATCGCAGGTACCATGTCGTGACGGCTGCGGCGGGGCTGCTTTTGGCCAAAAACGCACGGCCTCGCCTACGGGACGGCTAGCGCGAATCACTCGACGCTGTCTGTCTGGCAGCAGCCCTGAGTTGTCAGTTGACGACCTGCTCCGACTTGTCTCTCCAGCTCTAGAAGAAACGCCTTTCCCTCAGACAAAGCGCCCACACGTCACCCGCAAGTTGTTAGGGCCCCAGCTGCCGTCTGACGACCCCCTCGCGAAGCTCCTCCCTCCACCGACTCCCCGTGCACCATCCTAGACGGCTACACTAGCCACCCTCTATTACCTCACGCGTCTCTCCTCCATGTCGACCTGAGCCCTACGCTCTCCTGTGTCCGATCCACCGTGTGTGCGCCAGCAATCTAGTCCCCCATTGGCGCTCTTGAATTGCGACCTGTCCCCAAACGCCCCGAGGCCAGCCTCCATCTCGGACGCCCGTCTCTACAAGACCTCTGCAGCGCTTAACCTGGCCGTGGGCGCATTTCACCAACCATGAAGGGCTTTAGGCAAAGGGTCGTAAGTTGCCCGTCCTCCCAGTGGACCCTGGCAGCACACCGCACCGCCTTACCCCTCTCTATGCGCGGAGGCTAACATATCTAGTCCGAACAGCTCTCTCGAAGCAAGGATAGCAAGTCATCTAAGAAGAAGGACTCGTCTTCTGGAACTGCTTCGCCGTCGCTGGCTGCCTCCAACTCGCCCTCGGGCTCTGCTCAGGCCACGCCTTCCTCGTCGCAGACACAGCTCACCGATGCGCGAAGCAAGAGCCAGCCCGCCGCCGACGGCGCTTCCTCCAACATTGGGTCGCTACAACAGAACCCGCAGCCTTCGTCGGGTTCGCTTGCGGGTGGACCTCAATCTTTTGGTGGACAGGGCGTGATGAGTCCCGGTGTTGCTGGTAATACCGGCGCTGCTGGTCCAGGCACGCCCTCTAGGTTGGGGCAGCCCCTGGCACCCAGCGTCGTCATCAGCCCAAGCGCGCCTGTGAGTACTTGCGCATCCATAGACACATGTTCGGTAGGCTAATCAATACCACAGCATCCACCCCCTCCTGGCGCGGCCGAGACGATGCCCGGAGATCTTGCGCCGCCCAAGGCGGGCCAGAAGTCGGGAATATTCGACCGTCTTCAAGCGACGCCCAAGGACAACATCGAGGGCATGAGAACCCCGAAGAGGCAACACTCGTCGCGCTTCGACATCTCAGACCAGCGCCAGCGTGAACTAGAAAAGCTTCCTGGTTTTCACGAGGTGCCTCCGAACAAGAGGGAGGAACTCTTCATGCAAAAGATCGACCAATGCAACATCATCTTCGACTTCAACGATGCTAGTGGCGATATGAAATCAAAGGAGATCAAGCGTCTTGCCCTGCACGAGCTGCTCGACTATGTTGCCAACAACCGCCAAGTCATCACCGAGAAGATGTACCCTCGCGTCGTCGAGATGTTTGCAAAGAACCTGTTCCGACCCATCCCACCCCCAATGAACCCCCAAGGTGAGGCCTTTGACCCAGAAGAAGACGAGCCGGTGCTGGAAGTGGCGTGGCCGCACATACAGGTCGTTTACGAGTTCTTCCTTCGATTCATCGAAAGTCAGGACTTCAACACAAACATTGCCAAAGCGTACATAGACCACAGTTTTGTGCTCAACGTACGTATCTTGTCATCTGCTTGGTATCATCTGGCTAATGTGAGCAGCTGCTTGAGCTTTTCGATTCCGAAGACCCCAGAGAGCGCGACTTCTTGAAGACCACACTTCATCGCATTTACGGCAAATTCCTCAATCTCCGGTCCTACATCCGCCGTTCCATCAACAACGTCTTTTTCCAATTCATTTACGAGACAGAACGCTTCAACGGTATCGCCGAGCTTCTCGAAATTCTCGGTTCTATAATTAACGGTTTTGCTCTGCCATTGAAGGAAGAGCACAAGCTGTTCCTCACTAGGGTGCTCATTCCGCTTCACAAAGTCAAGAGCTTGAGCATGTACCATCCACAATTGGCGTATTGCATTGTCCAGTTCTTGGAAAAGGACGCGGCATTAACAGAAGAGGTAGGAACATACGCCAGATCCAATAGGCTAGGCTTACACGTTCAGGTTGTTTTGGG